GCACTCATCTTTATTTTTATTTACATTATTCTAATGCATTTATTCATTCTATTAAAAAAAACAAAAGAGATAATAATTGTTTCCCAACAATTTAAGCAAATAAGATGCAACTAATAAAATGTCAATTCAAGCTAGTTAAAATTGACCGAACCACCAATTTGGAATCTGGCTCAACATTTTTGGGGGAAATTTCACATATCCCATGTAGTTTGGTTTGAAGTGGATGCATTTAACCTCAAATCACAAAATATGCACTTGGCTTCAATATAGTTTAAAAATAGACACTTAATTCTCATATCACGAAAATATGTACTTAATTCCTATAATTTGAAAATTATGCAAATAACTCCAAGTCTATTAAATATTAAAAATTCTAAAGGATCAAGAACACATTTCCTAAACTTTATGGGTTTAAGAATGCATTTTCATAATTTAGAGAGATAAGTCTATGTTATTGTAAATTAGGGTTAAGTACACCTATCTCGAACTACATTGAAAGTAAGTACGATTCACCCTTTTTTTAATGAAATTAATGTTTAATTTGAAAAAAATAATAGAAATTTGGTCTATTGTTTGTACTTTAGATTAGGCTTAAGTTTGGATGTACCGGTATAGAATTGTAATTAATAATTTTTTATTTTTTAAATATATTTAAATATATAAAACATATTTAATATTTATTTTTAATTAATATTTCATATATTTTTAAAATAATAAAAAATATAAAAATTAAAAACTAAAGTATTGAGAAATCGTTATCAAATAAAACCTTAGTCATACTCATACTTGCTTCGAATCACCTTTTAGCAGCCACTATTGAAAAACAAAAGAAAGAAAAAGAAAAGGAAAGAAGAAGACAACACGGTTCCAACTTCCAACTAATCCTCCCTGTGGTCTCATTCCTTCCAATTTCCCCAAGACCCCAGGCAAAGTTGGCGGCAGCCCACTTTAATTAGAAGAAGTCAAAGAAAACATGTTAAGGAACATACTACAGTGTATCATGCTATAGCCTAGATACAGGCAGGAGGCATATATTAATTATTTTCTCTGGAACGCCTACTTTGACCATCCATATTTATTTTCCAAACTAACCCATAAAAGGGGGGTTAATTAGTTGGCTTTGGTTAGTTATACTGTCTTATTGCTAGCAGCCAATGTTCCTCCTCTTTGTTCTCACGGTGGCGCTGGCTGTTGTGGCCACCACTTGTTGGCCCCATCTACTCAACAAATGGTGTCAGAGCCTCAGAAGAAGCTGCACCGAGGAAGTTGAATGCGTGGTTTGCCTAAGCAAGGTATCCAGAAGTGAAAAACTCCGGTCGCTGCCTACCTGTCGCCATACCTATCACCATAGCTGCATCGAGAATTGGCTTAAAGTGCGTCCAACTTGCCCACTTTGCCGGATTCATGTTCCCCCTCGTCGCAACTTTCTCTTAACCCTTTTGCTTTATCTTGTTCAGCGTATTGGAAAATGGCTGCAGAAATACCCTCTAACCTCTGAGATCCAGTCGGCAGTATGGGAGAGTCTGGGTTATATTTCTTGAAGAGAATTCTCTCGTCGCCGGCGGAAATGTGACTCCGTTCACCGGAATTGAAACCTGAAGTTGTCATCTCTTTCTCCGGAGATCAGAACTTGGCTCAGCTTCGAAAGCCTAGTTGGTTCCGGTCAAGCTCAACATACAGACCTACCAACTGCTGCCTTTAACAAATTTTCATTGGCCTAGGCTTTTAGGCACTTTCTTCTTGACTTGGTTGTTTGTTCTTTTCTTTTTTTCATTTTTTCATTTTTTTTTGAATCATTTATTGATCTCCTTTTTTTATCTGATCTTGATTTTTTTTATAAAAAATATTATTTTGAAAAATGTAAATTAGAATGATATATCTATATATTTTTCAATTTTTAGTATTAGATCTATTGATGTGTCATTGACTGAATCAATTTGTCTGTGTACTTGATCTAATCAAGACATCAATATTACTACGGAAAATATAATTAGGATATTGTTTACACCTATTTTTGCAAAAAAATAGAGTGGTGCCATGTGTCATTCATGTTAACAAGAATTTCATTGATTGAAAGCAGTTTGAGTAAATCTCTCTGGATAAAGTTGAGTGGTTATTTCCCACAACTACAGCAAAGCCGTTAGTTTGTTGCGAACTTCCAGAAGGATAATTAGCAACACAAATAGACTAATTTGTTTGTTTCAGATATCACGCTGCCATTGGTTTTTCAAGATTGCTCTGCAAATCTCCAAGCATGCTGCCAAGGGGTGTTTATTGCTATAAGTATGTAGAGAAGAAACGAAGTGAAGAAGACCAGCCTCTCACACAACTAGCCCAGCGCTATCTAAATTTTAGTTTTTCAAGCAATGTCTTAGTTTAGATCCA